CGCTACGAGGCTGGCGCTCAGCATTGTACCGTGCATTCCAGCTTTAAATCCAAATGTCGCTAGTGCAGTCTCCTCCTGGAAACCTCATTTCATGACACACCACAGGACCATCTGGCTCTGCCCCGAAGTCGACCACAAAGTTGGGATTCAGGGAGAGCCCACCCTTCTCCGTGTCGACATCCAGCTGAATAAGCTGTGCCCCGCGACCAGCCATATCTGGATAGAACCTCAGTCTCCCTGTCCACTTGCAAATACGTTTCTAAAACCAGTCGCCAGTTCCTACAACTGACTGTCAGCTTCTCAGCTCTCAAAGACACTTAAGTCCCATGCCATCTAAAGTCCAAAATCGGTTCATCAGCGTGGTACAACGGAGGGCGACATGGTTTACCGGGCAACTGGGCCTCTGACTGCTTGTCCCAGGAGGAGAAGAGCGAAGTGGACACGTAGAGGCGTTTCCCGTCCAGGGAAAGCTGCACCATCTGTGCCCCACCTAGCAACTTCATGAAGTTAGGGCGTAAGGCAGGCCTTAAAGAGGGAGATGCGTGGGGCTTGTTGTTTTTCACACAAAAACCGCACCTTGAATCTCGACGCCTTTCACTATGAGAGGCTCGGGCTGTGCAAGGCCGTCCTTCCTCTTCACGGACCCCGTGCTCTTCAAAGAGCCCCCGACGAAGAACTGCCCCACCAGCTTCGGCTCGGATCCCGTGATGTCGTACTGCCGCACGTCGCCATGCAGCCAGTTCGAGAGATACAGGAAGCGGTCGTCCAAGGAAATCGCGAAGTCGGTGATGAGTCCCGGCATCTCTGGCAGAGCCCATCCCTCAACTGGGATGGGCTCAACCTTAATCACGGTCTTGCTGACCCATTCTCCATCCTCGCCCTTCGCGAAGCGCACCATCTCCGAGCTCAGGGCACATCCAGTGTAACCCTCTGCCTTGTCGGGGTCATGAAGGAACCGCACCTCCAGCGGAATGGAGCCCGCCTTAGTTTCAGAAGCCCCTTAAAAAGACCCCATTTTCGGGAACGCGAAGATAAGATATGCATTTTGAGGACCCGGCTCCAACATCGAGTTCCTGCTTCAACGTGCGCTCGGCCCAATTCCAGACATAAAGCTTGCTGCCATAGAGCCCGTCTGCAACATGAGCAGGGTCAAAGCCCTTTGTGAAACAACCTGGATGTCCCCATTCAGATGAAACCATGACATTGTGACGTGGCTGGTACCAGAAGTCATAGCCGAATTTCGTCGTGCCAGCAGCTTCCCAACGGCGCTTTATCTCGAACGTCTTGGGATCGAAAGAGACAAATCCAGCGCCGCTGGGCTCGAATCCTTTCTCGGCTGTGCCACTACCCATGAACGACATGATGATCTCATCCGGTGCGCAGTGTGTGGTATGGGGCAGGGCCACCCCAACCTTTTCCAAAAGCTCGCTTCCTGGGATGGTTTTGTGGATCTTCGGCGCCCGCGGATCCGAACGGACATCGATGATGTGAATGTTTCCAGACAGTACTCCCGGAGCGATGAGGAAGGAGTGCGTGGGCCGGCCTTCTTGTCCACGGCATGAAGAGCACGCATTCCAGCCGAGATGATGAAGCTCGTCACCCGGTTCCGGCATGTACAATCGATGAATGACTTCGCCATAGGTCTTGCTTGCCGGGTTCAGATCGATGGTGGCAAGGTAGTCTGGCTTCTTGTCCTTCTCTAGCTGCACAGCCGGGATGTACAACAGCTCCTCGACCTTGCCCGAGCTCATTGCCTCCCATGGTGTTGCAAACCCACTTTCCTTGCAGCAAGTTCCCATCGGTTCAGCTTGTTCAGGGTTTTGCGGCTCCAGAGCCGTTCTGGCTACACACCACTCTGCACCAGGCCCTACAAGTAGGTGCTAAACCAACCGGAGCCGAAACGAGGCACGAACAAAAGCGTTGTTGCCGACCTGCAACGAAGCACCACGAATCCCGCGGAAATGCCGCAGCTCGCGAGCCGATGTGAATCACGTTTGGGCCCCAGTCAATGCAGTTTAACGAGAACGCCCCGAAGGCACCGTTTCTTCCCCTGTCAACAGTGACGGCTTCCTGGCAGACCCAACTACTCTCCTTCGGTGCTTCCCTGAAGAAGCCATCTGTTTGGCGGGAGTCGTGCTTTTGTGGGGATCCTGCATCACGCCTTGTGGCCCGCATTCCTCCGCTCTAAATCTGTGTGTAGGACTTTCGCCTTCATGCTACTTGTACCCTTCGCAAGAGCACCGTCCCGGGCCTGATTCCAAGCTGCTGCAGCTCGCCCATGCGCGAAGGATTGGGAGACTTCCATCCGCCTGATGTACTTGTCACACGTGTCATGTGCTCTCACCCTGTACTGCCGCTGCCTGGGAGGTCTTTGTGGCCTTGGCTTTCTTCCCTTTGCCCGGCGAACTGCCCGTGGCCAGACAAAGCAAAGCTGCAGCCTGGACACAGCACAGCACAAGCACCCAACAAGCGCCCAGCAAGCACCTAGGCAGACCCCCTATGGGCACGGCAGCGGAAGCACTGAGAAGGGAGCGTTGCAAGCGGCGCAGTTTGCTGGTACAGCACTTCCCTGCAAGAGCCCTTGGGAGGAGGCGCCGGACGCAGGGGAGAGCAGGGCGCTCTCCTGACCTCCAGAGTCACACTTCTGGAATCCAGCGAGGGCCAGCCAACTCGATGTGCTCCGTGGGCACTCTGTACCAGATGCAGGCGGCGTTGCCTTTCGCAGAACGGAGGCATCGGATTCACAGGCGGCTGCAGTTGCAGTCGATGCTTCCAGGTGCTGCGAGCAGAGGGCTTCCGCAGCCTTTCCGATCAGTCGCGTGGCTTCCTCCCGCCGCCCACATTCCAAGTCTACGCCACGGGATGCCCCAGCCACTCGTCGCAGGGCGGCGATCATGCGCAATGCGAAGAGTGGGGCTGTCGCCCACTTTGGATCTGCACAAGCGGAGACGAGTTGCATCACGAGACCCTCGAGCTGTGTGAAATCACTGCCATGGGAGTCCACCAAGACCTGCAAAACGGCTGCTGCGAGGTTCCCAGCACGAGCCTCCGCCGATGCCACACACTCTGCGGCCCTTCGGGCTGTCTGTGCCTCGCCGCTCCGACCTTCCTCCAAGTTGAAAGGAAGCAGCATCGCTCCGATGGCTCGCAAGGCAAGGGCCAGAAAGGAAGGGCCCTTCCCTGAAAGGCCGTTCACCAGCATCTGTTGGCTTGCTGCTAGTTTGCCAAGCTCTGCAAAGGCAGCGGACTGAAGCGCCGCATCGGTGCAGCCGTAGCCCAGAAGCGCCACGAGGAGGTCACTACTTGCTTCGCCAAGGGCTGCCAAAGCCGTCTTGATGATCGCCGGGGTGCATGAGGACAGCGAGGAAGCGATGGAAGAACACTGCGAGGCCAGGACAGCGGTGCGGTGGGCCAGGCAGGTTGCAGGCAACGCGCGGCTCGCATAACGTCGAGAGGCGAAGAGGTGGTGAATGGAGCGAAGAGCACGTGTGACTTTGGTACACATCGCTGCAGCTTCTGTGGTCGCCGCAGTGGCCTCGAGCAACATGGGAAGTGTGAACCTTACCTGACAGGGGGGGGCATGACCGACTCACACTCGTCACTCGTGATCGCATCCATGGTTCTATGTTCTAATCTAGAGACTGATGAATCGTCATCCGCACCGGCACTGGGCAGTGCCATGGGCTCAGATCCCTTCCCCCTTCCCCTGCCGCACCTCGTGCCAGAGAAAAGACACCGAATGAGCAATGACTTCCTCCCCCGGCTGAAAGTTCGGCACTCCGTTGTCTGCCGCCGAGCCATCTCTGCTGGGCTGGTTTGCAGCTGAAAGATCCAGGATCAAGAAGGCCAGGGACAAGCCTGCAGCATCATTCTCGAGCTTTGCCTCTGAAGACTCAGGCCTGCATCGACCCAAATCCCCAGGGGTCATGCACTTGCTCTGCAAGGCCTTGAAGACTCGGGAAAGCACGTCTCCACTGTCTGCAACATGTACTAAATCCTTTGCAGTATCACTGATCAACGCCTCTCTGCATCTCCAGGAATCCATCTTCACTTCCCAGGCCACATGTGACAGCTGCTGGATGGCTGCCATGGGAAGGCGGGCGTGTGGTGATTTCTCGGACACCCAGGTTGCACAGGCCTTCGTCACTTCCTGGATGAGTTTTCGTGTCCCGGCCGACTCGTCCGACCCGTCTGCCTCCTTGCAGGTCTTGCCCTTCTCCTTCTGCCCGCCTTTTGAAGCCTTTCCCCCGGCTTTCGTGACGGGCTTCTGTCCGCACTTCTTGGGCGGACGGGGCATTCTGAGAAGATGTGTCAGCCTCAGCCAGCTGGGAACGACAACGTGCGAAAAGCTAACAACCATGAGAATAAATCGCTCTGAGGGCACCACGATGGGAACGGGACAGATGGTGTAATGTTCTGTTGCATCCCCGAGCTGAGCCACTGTGAGCGCCACAGTATGACTGCACGTGCAACCTTGTACAGGGTCTTACATGGCTTTCACAACCGCTTGCACTTCCACCTCGCCACCATGACTGTTGCTTTTCTCGTGTTGCCACGCTGCTGTCGGCACGAGAATCTTAAACTTTGTAAGTGGCCGGGTGCTGTTCAGCATCTGGCGAGCTAATGCAAGTCCAGCGGTTTCTGGACCCCGATGTTGTCTACAGTGGCCTCCGGAACAGAGAACTTCATTGCCACAGATTGCCATCCGGAGGTGTCTAAAATCCCCCCAAGTTTATGGGTCTTCTTCAAAGACCCCTTGGGGCTTCTTTTGAGGCTTATTGGAGCCATCGGAGCGAGCATCAGGCCGGCCCAGACCTCGCAGAGCTTTCGCTCGCGCAAAACCGTGGGATTTCAGGCGGACTCAGGAAGGGTTCCAAACGGATTCCACAAGGGTCGTGACGAATCTGAGAGCGTCTGGTACGAAGGGCTCTCTTTAAGGGCTTTAAAGATTTTCGGAGGATTTTGCCAGTGTTCTTCGCGTCTTTCAAGAAGTGGTTCTTTCAGCTCCATATTTCCTGTTCCGTCTTCTTGCCGAGCTGCGGGTACTCTTTCTGATACAAGGCCGCTTGTCTTCCTTGGCTCAAAGTCTAACCCAGGTTCAACTTGGGTTCAAGGACCCAGGTTCCACCCGGATTCAACCCATGCTCGACTCCAAGTATTCTGCGATAGCCGCTTCTTGAGGCACCCATATTGCTACGAAAAAGTGGGACATGGCCATGGCACGCAGGGTCATCTGGCCGAGGCTCCACCCCTCTTTCGCAGTAGCGCTACTACTTTCAACTTCGCTTCTCGCATGGACCTCAGTCGGCGACGTGCGGCTAGGGCAAGGAAACTGGCGCTTGACGAAGGAGGGCCCGGGCTCTTTCAGCACGTACTTCGGCTCCAACATTGCCAGGTTTAACGGCGTGCGACCATGGGCGTCGAGCGAGTTAACATTGCACTTTGCATGTGCGAGGAGCTTCTCCACGGCCTTACAAACTTGCTTTCCGTTGGCTTCTTATTGTGCCAGTACTGTTATTGTACTACAAGCTACAAGTACTTGCAAGCCAGCGTCTTCATAGTGGCCCATGAGAGCGGCCAGGTGCAGAGGCGTTCTGCCGTAGCCATCCCGCACCTTGGAGGTCCGAGGTGCAAAGAGCCGCCAATCGGAAACATCTATGCAGCGATCAAAGATCTGCAGAGTGTTTTCCTGGCTGCCGCCCGTGCCGCTCGGCAACAAAAGTATTACAGGCTTGAGCGAGATTGAGCCTTGCGCAAAGTGACTGCTTCTGGCTCTTTGAGGCTACAACTGCTCATAAGCAAGGAACCTGTACAATTGGGAAGCGATCTCCTTTACACGCTATGATCCCTGCAAGCACCCTTCGGTGCTTTCGCAATTGCTTCCTCCCAACATGCATTATTCACTTCTTCACGGGCACATGGTGCTGCGCTTGCTTTCGGACTTGCCTTCGCTGATTTCCACCGGCTCACCGACGTACTCCACCTGCAGGGCCTCCTGCATGCCGGCGCAGCAGGAGCAGAAGATCCAGACCAAGACGTCGCAGGTGCAAGTGCTGCAGGTGCCGTGGGGCAGCCCGTACTGGCTGCGGACACGCTGCCGGTTTCGGACAAGCATCACCAGCAGCAAGACGTGGAAGAGCACCGCCAATACCAGCAGAAGGATCATGGGACCCATGGGAGAGGGCTCTGAGGGCGAGGAGGGGGCCATGAACGAGATGAAGACGCTCGGGAGCCTGGAAAGCACGTAGAGGAGCTGGAAGAGGAAGACTGCCGTGCCGAAACCCAGAAACTTGATCTGCGATGAGCTGGCCGTGTCGGCCCAGCGCACGGGCAAGCACCAGAAGCTGCAGCAGCAGATCCGCAGGCTGTGGCAGCAGCCATCGAAAAGGCCGTACCGGAAGCCTTCCTGCGCACGCTCCGGCTGCAGCACCTCGTCGGGCGAAGGCTTGGTCTGGAAGCAGCTGGTATACAGCAGGCCAATGCAAGTCACTAGGACCGTCTGGACAACCAGCCACACGGCCATCGACAAGGCTAGTTTGTGCTCAGTGTTCTTCATGGCTTTCTCCAGCTGCAATACCTGCGTTTGTTCCTCTGCAACCGCTGGGTCCTCTGCACCAGGCTGCTCCTTGTCGGCAGGCTCTTGGTCCGCGGCTTCTTGCACCTCGGACTGCTCTTGCTCCTTGCGGCCCCGCAATGAAGCCCGGTGATCAAGATCTTGCCCCTGAGCCCCGGATAGAGCGAGAATGCCAAGGGCCCACACGAGGCTGAGACCACGGACGGCGATCATGGCGACAGGAAACGCTCCGTGCGACTTGAAGCCTTCAAGCTCTTTCTCTGTACAACTCGAGCCAGGAAATGCTGCCAGACTCCTTCCTGTGTGGACTGCAAGACTAGCCGAAACTTCAGTCAGATGCGACACCGTCATCGATGTCACATTAAAGCCGAGCCACGTTGGGACTCATGCCGAATTTCAGTTGCCATTCTATCTCGTCTGCATCACCACTCTCTGCTGCACAGAACCTGAGCGAGCGCTCTGGGACGAGCTGCGTGTCACTTTGGTGCGGCCCAGGTGCATGGAGGCCACTTGCTGAGTCTTGTCGTCTTGCGCCTTGGCAATGAAATTGCGGGCCTCGCCTGGCCTTGCAGGCGACAGCGGACAGCGGGCCTCGCCTCCTCTGCAAGGAAGAGAACCTGCTAGGAGCTGCGTGTTTTGGGTAATCCAGGGGTGCTCCGAGCTCCAGTCTGCGCCTTTACAGGAGGCTGCGTGAGGTCTTTGGCACTCACGGCGGCATCCATGGCTTCACAGGTGCGCTTCGAGCACGCAAGATGCCCAATTGCACAAACGGTTTATTGGCTTATCGTATGGGCCTGTGGATGTCTGTGGCTTAGGGGCCGCTCTGCCCCGGTGCTTTCATTCGCTTGCTGCTCGCAGCCACAACACATCGCCATCACACAACGACGAACAAGTTCAGGAAGGTGCATACTCACAATCAGATGCTGCTGAAGAGAGCATGGGATGAGACCACACTCAAAAGACCTTTTGCGTTTTGCGCACGAGCATTGCTCCGCGCTGCCCATTCGTGGAACGGTAGCGAATCCTCAGCCACCAATCGAAGCCTCCTGAAGTATGCATCTCAAGGCTGAGAGCCAGGCCCCTCGGGACCAAAGGCTCAAGACGTCCTCGGACATCCTCGAAGGCAGCGCTTGCTGTTGTGCCAGGAGCCTCGTGGACTGCTTGAAGTCCGCTAGATCCCCGGTAGCGAACCTCGTGCGGCTCTGAGGACACAGTCTGCCTTGTTTTGGAAGACGATCGGATGCAACTCTGTTCCAACTGCATCTGAACCCGTTGTTTGGGATTTGGGGCGATTTCTTCACAAAGGCAGCGGCGCAGGACATCCTGGAGGTCGTTCGGTAACCCGTGGCTGGCCTGGCCAGGGCACATTTTTGCGCGACTGACATCGCTGAGAGCTGTCTGGAGAGTTGAGATAAAAGCAGTTGCTGCAACCAAGAAGGGATCCTGTTAGGTCACCAGCCTGCTACTTGTAAGGCCTGGTTACTACATGAATGGCTTGCTCTGCCTTTGCTTGTCCAGTGTGCTTGAATTGAGGATGCCGATGCCCCGAGAGCCAACCACCAGATGCAGCTAGTCTATCCCGATCGCGGTTCCGAGTCGAGCAGAGACTTACTGCCTGTTCCCCTTAGGATCATTCGGCTGACGAAAAGGTTCTACCTGCGAGCCAGAGGTCAAAGTACAACAGGAATGACAGCGACGTGTCGTCGCAAAACTAAGTTGTGGGAAGGTCCCGAATTGTGGCACGAATAATAATGCACCTTTGCGCACGCTAACAGAGTCCCACCTCGATCGTGCCGTCGTCCAGGCCTTGGCCACCGACTGATGCATTGTGCCAGTCATGCCACGCCAACACAGCTGAGATGCCTGGAAATTCAAGACGGAAGCGGTGGAGGAAGAGCCGTGGACACCACTGCAAATCGCTTTGCAGCGCCTGATGGTATTGCACAGGTGCGCCATTGTTGTACGCACGTTCGGCTTTTGTTCTCAGCTGGACTACATATGAGAACTTGCACTGTTGAGCGCTTTGACTCATAACTTTGCTCCATGCATCCCTGCCTGCGGTGCATAGCGCCCATCACAGACGACAGGATGACCCACATGTGAAAGATGGCATCTGATCTGATGCTTGCCTCGGAAAAGGTGTCAGGCGAAGGCAACCGAACCAAAAGCCAGACTTTCAGAGATTCATCTCGCATTCCGAGCTGCGTCCCGTCAGAATGGACAGCACCACCAGGCCTCATACAAGCAAACTGCATTACAACGACAAGGCCTAAAAATCCGTCTCTCTGCATCGGAGGATCTGTAATCTTCCGTTGAAGAGCTGCACCTCAGCATGCGCAGAGCATGCGGAGCTGGACTGACCGGAGCTCGAGGCCGGGACCGGGCGAGGACTCGAAGCCGCGTGACGGCCGCCACGCCGCTCGCATGGACTTCGCTGGAGGCCCCCGCGCGCACAAGGATTGGAAGGCGGATCTGGGCAGAGGGGCGTTGCAAGCTCTTTTGGGTTGAAAGGTCCGTGACTCTACAGAAGTTTCTGCCCAAAACCCTGCCTCGTGCAAGTCCTCTGGCACCAAGCCGTGGCACAGTGCCACGTACTCTCGGGCCTTACAAGCGTTCGTGTCGTTGGGTCAAAACAGTGCCGACTGGCTACAAGAACCACCTCGCAGCTCCTTGGTACAGAGACGTTGCAATCCAAGCTGGTGCTTGAAGTGCACATATCCTCAAGCATGGTGAGGCCCAGGCCACAGAATGAGTGTCTTGCCGGAACTGCAGAAGCAAATGCGCCTTGGTCTGACGCTTTGCTCCGTCGCACGACATCTCTATCTTTTGAACAGCTTTTTTCAGCGCCGAGAATGCACTACCCAAACCCGGCCTCGTAGGTCAGCGCACTGATCACAAGGCCAGATGACTGCGCATCCAACCTTCCTGTCCACAGGGAAAGCAATCCAAGAAGGAGAATCGCGCTTGTGCCAGCCAACCAAAACCTGAGACCACGGCCGAGAAAACCGCCACCGGCAGAGGCGTCAGAAAGCAAAGGCCTGTGTTGCAAGTCTAAGTGCTGCGAGGCAACGGTAGCGAATGCTTTTGCAAACGCAGGCGACCTGTTGGGGAACTGGATCTGCATGTAGCCAGAAAGTGGTATGGGCCGGCCTCCCAAGAGCAGAACCGCCGGTTCTAGATCGTTTCGCATGATGTCGCTGAGCCATGTGCTCGCAGAACCGACGCCATCGGCACCGTCCACCTGTGCGAGGGCAAAAAATGCCATTCTCTGCTTCTGTCATCGGCAGTGGGCCAAGCCTGGTTCAGAATCACAATCCATGCCCATGCAAAGGTCTTCGACTCCCACGCTCTCTGTGTTTCTGCGTGCGCTTTGGGACCCTCATCCATCTGTCTCTGATTCTTTCGGACTGCGCATTAGTTTGACTTGTGAGGGTGGTCAGATTGGCTTGTGAATTTGCAGGACGGGGTCAAGTTGGACGGCGGTGGAATTGACGGCAGCAGTTGCGGCGATTTGGGTACTGGCTTGCCGCCGCACGTCACGGGAGCCACAGGACTCCCTCTGGCTGCTCATCTTGCGAGGCATGGAAAAGCTCCTGCAGGCCGATTGCGTGGAGGGGTGCAAAATCGAGATGGAGCATGTTCCGAGGACGCTTCTTCCCGCGAAATTGACAGGAGGTACATGTGGTCCACAAGCACAACCAACCTCGACCATCTGGGCAAAATGACATGGATCGAGGGCTGCAAACTCAAACAGCTGCAGCACGAACTCCGCGGCATCATCTTGCTGTTGCACGCTGCCGGCTGCGGTCCCGAGCAGCAAAGTGCGGGTGTGCCCTGTGGATCAGATGATCAGAGTGCATTTCTCCCCTCAGAAGATGTCTCTGGCAGCTTTGTTTCTGCACAAGGAGCACGACGCAGCAGCATCGTCATGGCGATGCTCTGCGATTATGAGGTAAAGAGGTACTCCGAATGCAAGAGAGCCTGGACTGCGGAGCCGCCCCCTCGCAGGCTCGATGCTCTGCCGGAGTAGTGGGGGTCGACTGGACTCTATCACGATTCGGGCACCGATGCATGCGAAAACAGATGGGGTTCGGGCCTGCCCGCCCCGCGCCCGAGACTTTCTGTACGATCTGACCAATCCGCCAGCAAATTTGACTCCAGCCCGACGTAGCCCAACATTAACTGTTCAACCTTCTTCCCTTACGTTCCAAACTCCCGAGCCTTAGCATAGCCGTCTCTTCGTTTATTGTTCTTCTTCATCTTCTTCTCACTGGCTCTAAGGGTACCCCCACAAGGCAGAACGTGGCCTCCCAGTGGACAGGCTTGTGAAGAACCACAAAACCCTGCTGCTCCTGGCTCCCCGGTTGCATTCGCTGTAGCCGCTGTCGCCGAACCCCAGACTTTGAGCGGTTTGTGTTTGCGCTGTCCTCGTTGACAACGATCGTTGGCGAGTTGGACGAGTGCGTCGGCACCTGCAAGGAGGCCATACGCAGCGTGTATCGTCAAGATCCCACCAGTAATTGCGAAAAGCTGTACAGAGGCACTAGTCCCACGACACAGGCATGCTCAGACTTTGGGAAGGGTGACAGGGACATTGAAGATGAAGTAATATGTACAAATGTCGGAAATGCCGCATTCCTTGCAAAGGCCATATGAAGTTCTGCCTGATCCACCAACATTGCTGAAGCTGGTTCGGCCATCCTCTGACATCAAACAGTGCGCGCGGCAGAGTTGCAGGCTCTACGTGCCGATGCCTTCCGCGAGTCTGCGAATCCCTGAGTCTCCCCTCTCTGCGGAGGCGGTCTTGAATGAGCTTGTTCAGGCCAGACCTCAGCTTTAACTGTAACATCAGACCTGCACTCCAGCAAGTCGGACAAGTGGCAGGGGATGGTGTGTCAGAAAGGTGAAGCTGAAAGTTGCGAGGCTTAGAACTCTCTGCTAACGCAGGCTAGCGTGTCTGATACAAGCGATAAGAGTCTCGCATCGGGAACAAAGGGAAACGTCAATCTGACCATGCGCATGCGGCCATGCTTGCAACCACCCCAGAGGTGCAGGATATTCTGTTCCAAAAAATGATCAAGGTCAGTAGTATGTCGTAGAACCGTGGCAAAAGCCATCAAAGCAAATAAGATTAATGCATTCCTGCAGTTCTGCTCTCCATCCACACCAAACCGTCACCAACGCAACCGTTGTGCAATGTGCCTCCCTTAACTGCAAACCTCCAGTCCTGAAAAATCGTTCGCGAGGCCCTGAGCCCCTGGCGCACGGGAAACTTGTCCGAAGGAGCCGGCCCATGCCTCAGACATCATTTCGCATCATTTGCATCCTAATCGGATACCATGAATCCATGGCTCATCTTTGAGCGCTGATCACGTCTGTTGACTTTTTTGTTCACTAATCCGCTTAAAGGCTGTGCAATGTGACTCCTATCGGTGTTGCTGATTGCTATGGTCACCTTGCCGTGTAATATCTTGAACTACTATTTTCAGTGATCTCAACACCATGACTTGTAATCCTTGCAACTCCTGGTTCCTGTAGCAGCAAGAGCAGTTCAGCAATGCTGGCACCATCGTCGGCGCATGACAGCAGCAGTAGCAGCAGCAGGGGCGGCGAAGTAGCAGCACTAGCCACTGCCGCCATGAGCTCTGCCCAAGTTCACGAATGTTGCCGGACTTCGTGCAAGCAAGACTGGCACTCGGTGGGTTTCAGGCCCGGGCAAGCTGCAGCAAGGCTTCGACAAAGCCCGGCCCACCCCGAGACGTCCTTCAATCGGCAGCCAAAGGAGACGAGCTTGACAAATCATACTTCATACCGACAGCCAAACGAACGACAATAAGGATGTATGCTTCAACAATCCGAACACTAATCCAGCCAAGCCAACACCGCCAGAAAGAAAGCCAGCCTTGTCCACCTTGGGCTTGGTCCCTCAAGCAGTTGCTCAGCTCGTGGGAGTAGCGCCTGGGAATCAGAACAAGATTGGGGAGAGGCGACACCACCCTGAACCCTGGCTCGACTGGGACTTCGCGCTCCAAACTTCCGAATCCCCAAATGCTGAAAGCGAAAGCTCCTAAGCGAACGTCGCAGACATCCCTGGAGACGGGAGGCCTCAATCAGCGACTCGCCGGCTTCCGATGCTGCCCACGCCTCAGAGTAGGTCGCCTCTAATTCTGGGCGGCCTGTGGGCAGTTCTGGGCCCTCAGACCCAAGAGATTGCAGCAACCTCCGACAGCTGGAGCTCCTCGATCACCCGGAGGCTCGATCGCTCCAGGGCCTTTGCGTGTGTCGCGCGCTCTCTCTCGACATCTCTCGCCTTGCACTCACCTCCACTCTCCCACCTTCAGCCACGCAGGATCACGATGGCGGGAAGACGCCAAAGCCCATGCCTGTTGAGCACTGTACGAGGGTATTTTTCCCGACCACACCTGTACGAGCACCAGCCGAAGCCAATCACGCCGGCCAGACACAGGCCGCTAGCCTTTCAAAGGCTTCGTCAAAAAATGGGGCGACGTTTAGCTCGCAGCTGCTTCTGTGGGGCCGGCTGCCGAGGCTCGAAGTCACGTTTGGCAGCTTCTCCAGCGAGCGCCTTTTCATGCTGCCAGTGCGGCGTCTCGGGCTGCGGAACGTGTTGCTGTCCAGCCAAGCTCCCAACTGAGAATGATGACGAATCAGCGTGTGCGACGGAAGCTACCGCCAGCCTCAGACTTGCAGGGCACAACGTTGAGATCCCTCGGTGCCTCAAGTCCCGACAGTCACACTTCGGAGCACATCACATAAACCCAAAACCGGCAACTTGTGTCTGCAATCATCAGGCAGAAACACAGGGACCTGGCGCCCAAATGCCATTTGCCAGATCTTGACTGGAGGTGCTCCGGCATCCTACGCTCAGCGTGACAGCGACTTGCTCGGATGACGTCAAACAGCTACACCGCAACCCCTAAGCCCTGAGACCTTAACCCGAAACCTTAAACCTTAAAACCCTAAAACCCTAGCCTCAAACGCCTACCCTCTGAAACACTGAAGCCCTAAACCCGAAACCCCAAAGTCTCTGCCCCGCCTCCCTGGAGGCCCACCTGCAAGGCTTCGGCAAGCCGGCTCCACCTTCCACGACCGACTTCAGAGGATCTGAGGACACACTGAACAAATATGTGGTCTTCAAGTCTTCAAGCTACAAGAACAAAACGCATCTGAATGTGTTCAAGTGTTCACTGCAAAAACAAGGAATCGACACGTCCTGTAAGCTGAGAAGCCTAAAGCATAGCATACTAGGGATAGCGGAGCATGGCAGAGCACAACATCGCATCGCATGGGGTGCAGGGCAGGGCTTCAAACAGCTGGACTAGCCCAAGACATGCAAGAAGTACAGAATGCATGAAACCGTAAGTGCCGCACAAAGGTTTGGAAAGAGCAGCGGTTGGAAAATTGGCGCAAGCCTCAGGTTCTCGCAAGCTACACCCCTGCGAGTGCAGCGTGCAGCCATGGGGAAGGAGCTTCGCACCTTATTCAGTCACCAAAACCGGAGCCTCCGATGGTTCGTCAATCCGCGCGAAACTCTGCGCCTACCATGAGTGGTATCGTCTGACTGTCGTCTTTGAACCCAGGGGCGAAGATTAGTTATGGTTCTGGCGTGCATTTCTGCCACGAAGTGCAACAACTCGTGGCACTGAGGCCGAGTCGCTGATCGCGCTCAGGCTGGAGTCTTAGAGTGGGCTCGAGAGATAAAAAACGAGATGCTTGATGTGTAAGTTGGTGCGCCCCGAGTGGGTCCCCCGAACACCTCATTCCACCGCTCTCACCCCGCACATGGACCATGAAGCAGCGCACATTCACGACTCGAGAATTCTTGAACTGCGAGGATCGCAGACGCAGGTTTTGGGAGGGCGTGGCCACAACGGACACCATTCTCCAAAATCTGCCTTCGACTCTTTTGGAACGTTTTTAAAGTGTCCACAGATCTTCCGCCGGCTGAGACGCAGAAGAAGTCTTGGCATCGGCTCGAATATCAGACAAGCCGCCCAAGCAGCTTGCGCCAGCAGCGGCACTCCTTCAAGAGCTTGATTGCCAAGGGCACAGCCATGGGTCGAGCATCACGATACCAAGCCGGTCCTTGTCGCGAATTCGGAGTGTTGGCCAGGGTGGCCTCAGGCTGTCGCCTTCTATCTAATCTAGTGTCTGTGCCATGCCTTCTTGCTGAGAAGCCCACTTCCACCGCCGACAAGGCCACGTCTCTGCGCTGCTCAGTGGCATCTGACATGCAGTCGAGCAGTTCACTCATTTTTCGCCATGCCGCTTGAGAGGAAAAGCGGGCCTCGTGACAGCCAGGAGTCAGAAGCCTCATAAACAGCCACAGACAAACACAGAGAGCGGGAGAGAGAGAGAGAGAGTTCGGACTTCGGGCAGCCTGGCTGGTTGCCAGAGCCCAGGAGAGAGCAACTAGCTCTGCCGGTCGAAACTCCGCGGTACCTGAGCAGCGAAAATGGGCGCTGAGCACAACTGCACGTTATCGGCGAGGCGTCCACGGCGTAGGGCTGTCTCGGCAGCCACTGACCTGCTTCACTGCCCGGCGATACCGAAGTGCGACTGTAACAAAGATCCATCCGAGGATCATCGCACGGTCGAAGGCCGTCCGCTGCGCATCGGAGTCGGAGAGCACCGAGAGCGCCAACGCCCAAGCGACGTTAGAAAGTGATTGCGGGGAGAGCTCGGAGATGTCTGCCGTGGCGGTGCGCGTCGCTGCTGCCATGCAGAGGCCAGGCAAAGCCGGAAGCACACGGAGGGTTGTGCATGCCCAAAGCCTAAGCGTTCGAGCGATCACCGTGCCTCTCTCTCTTCGGATCATTTTGGATTGCTCTTCTGCCGTGTGCGTCTCTGCCGGTCCGGAGCTGAGCTCCGAGCGAATTGCTGATGCTCATGAAGGAGGCTTCACCAAGCTTTCCTGAGTACAACTTCGCCCGCACGCTTCTTCAGCATGACATGCGGGCTCGAAGAACAAAGTCTTAGTCCTAGCCCTGTCCGCCTGTATACACAAAACGACATTTGAAAAGGAAGGCTGGCTGCAACCACTTTTTCTCAAAGCTTCAGGCGCCAGCATCTCTGCCAACTCCTTCCATTGCAGTTGATTTTAATCAGCATTGCCACAGATTGCAACTGGCTTAGCATTGCTTTTCCCTGTCCTGTCCTTGCGCCTCTCACCTTCCAGGAAAGTACCGCATCCACTCTGGGAAGCCTGGGCAGACTGGTGCGAGCGAAAGCCGCGAAAGGCTAACCCGGGCCATGCCTTCCCGGCGGGGCCAGCCGCAAAGGCCCAAAGCATCATGGACAACCTGCACCACACAAAATCACACAAAACACAAAAGAAGAATCCTGCTCAACGACGGAACTGCTCGCCGAGCCGCTCGTGGGGGCCGAACTCCTCCAGCCTCTGCCGAAGCGACTCCGTCAGTGTGCTGCGAGGCCCCCATGCCTCGCGATGCGATGGAGGACATGCTCAGGGAATCTCGGCACGGCACTTGAGGACACGTGCGGACTGAGGACCTCACTTCGTCGGTATCCCGACCCGTCGTCGCGAGCCGGACCAAGGACCAGGCAGTCAAGGCCAGCTGCCGTGGCTCCAGCTGCGGCCTTCGTGGCACTGGACAAGGAATGTTGTTCTCGGGATGTCTGTCGCTGTCCCATGCTGTCCCAGCCACAGAACTTCGGCCGAGATGAGGAAGTCTGCAGCCGACTTTGCAGCGAGATGCACGCGAGCTTCGCTTGAGGGGCCTGACTCGCGGCACAACAGCTCCGGAAACCCTCACGCATCCTCACGCCATCTCACGCATCCTCACGCCTCCGCCTTTGCCGCGGGCGACTGCGCCACGAAGCTTGGCGACAGCGGCCGAGATGCCTTGCAACAGCTCTGAAAGTCTTATGCCTGAGCCTTTTAGGGCTTTGCTCCGGCGTGCGTCGACGCCGTCCTTCCCGGCCGGCGGCCATTGTAGGGAGCCACGCAGCGTGGCCACATGCTGCAGGAAGGACATGCGCACATGTTCCGCACAGCGTATCAGTCGGGAACTGCGTAATCACAGATGGATCCCAAACATGCACGATAAGAATGCTAGATGTTGCAAGGACTTCCAAAACAGTCTACTGTGCAACTGGCAGCTACTATCTCTGTGGGTTAGGGTTTGTCGGGCACGCCCGCAGTGTCTCTTTGGTCGGCTGCGGAATCATGTATTCTGAAGAGCTTGTGCAATCACCAGCAGGCAACAAAGCTGAGTGATCGCTGGGCTTATCCTGCGTCGCAGTCTTGGAAACAACAGCTAAATGCTGAACTCGGACGGCTCATCGCTGCTCATCGATTCATCTTGGCCCTGTGCGCGATGGCGAAGGCGATGCTGTACATAGCACAACTCGCTTCTGAAATCCGGGGCAGCGACAGAGCATCATCTTCGTTCTCTTTCAGAAGAGCCTGCTTATCTGCGTCTGCAAACGGCATCCAACGGCACGGGTCCTGCCTCGACGATCTTGACGGTGTACGGGTACGGAGGGCACGGCTTCGGTGCCCCCAGCTCCTGAAACAAGCGAATACCATGTCGCAGGGGATTTTTTAGAGATCGCAAAACGGATATCTAGGTATATGGATACCGCGATTTGGAGTGACCCGGCTTCTCTTTGTGGGGTGTTCGAATAAGGTTCTCTAAACAGTAGATGGAGGGCGACAAACCCAGCAGAAAACGTGAGCGGCCTCGCAAACACCCATTGGATCCCTAACAACCACAAAAAGAAGGGGCTATGATAAATTGCAAACCCGAAACTTGAAGACAACATGTTCCGAAAACCCATGTGAATGGTTCTGGAGATAGGAGGTACGGAGTGGCCAACCCGAAATCCTACAAGGGATGACTGGTTCGGAAACATGACATAAATCACGAACAAGGTGACGGGTTGCCAGAAAGCCCAAACCCTAAGAGGAAGCGTTGGACCTTGAATTAAGAAGCCCTTTAGGGAGATGATGGGTTCCAAACTCCACTCCCTGAGGCCGGTTCCTAGGTTCCCATAACCCCAACCCTGGCGAGGCACAAACCTGCAGCCCAAAAACGACGATACGTGGCAAACATTGGCAAGCCGGAAGCTCCCTGAACACTAAACAGGGTCGCAAACCTTAAACCTTCAGACTGAGTGGGTCCAGGAAGCCCTTATCCCCACCAGGTCGATTCGACAGAGAATGGTGGGTGGCAACACAACAAACGAAAAATATATGACTGGTGCCAAGGATTTAACCCTAAACCGATTTTTTTTTGGTTGCGGGTTTCAGCAAGCCGTTTGGGGGGTCAGATTGGGGTGAGTCGACGGGGGGTCAAATTGGGCCGGCGGGGTGTGAGACTGGGGGCGGTCGGGGGGGTCAGATTGGGGGCGCTCAGATTGACCGGTGAGGTCAGATTGGGGGCGGGGGCCTCGGAGAGGCCTGAAAGGTCAGATTGGGGTAAAGTCCGGCCCCCTGTCGCAATTCGAGGTCTGCATACGATAGGAGACTCAAGGAGTAAGCACTTGAGGCTACAGACACAAGCAGGGCGTGTTAATTGAAAGATGTGTGCCTCGGCAGCGTTAAGCTAGCGCCGTCGCCGCCGGCGTGCAAACTGTAGACACGGCAACAGCACAGATCCGGAACTCCTGGTCCGGTCTTGCGCCACACGTAAACGATGTCGTCGAAGTGGCGGTTGACTGCAGCCAGACTCAGGGACGGCCCATTGACGCCGGCGACGAGGATTCCTGCTTGTAGGAGCAAGTCCTGCACCTCCGAAGGATCCGCTTGCAATAGCTGGAGGCCTCGCTTCGCCGCTACGGGGTCCAGTGTAGGCGACGGCGTGCTCTCGAGAGTGCGAGGCATCGTCAGGATGTGGCCCTCCACGATGCTCGCAAGGTGTGTGCATCACGAGAGTAGGGGTGGACTTGTGCACGAGGGCAAACTTGAGGCCGGTGCTGCAAGCAGCACGTGCAAGCACCTCTCCATGGCAATGAGACGGATGTCTGCAAAGCCTCTGCGATGTGGCCTTTCCCTCCTAGTGCCTCCAGCTGTCGCTGCCATGCAGCACGCTCGGCCCTGCACACGCTTGCCGTTGCCGTGCGTGAGGGTGTTGTTCCGCAGCTCGTCCTTCACGAGAATGTTGAGGGTGGCGACGCCATGGCCGCGTTCTAGCACCTTCATCTTGGTGTCCACGCCCAGACGCACCTCGCGTTCCTAGCAGCTGTAGCGCACGAGCACCTCGTACATGCCTTGGGAACGGAATGGCACGAAAACGTCCCCGGCAGAGACAATCTGAGGCTGGAGGAGGTGACGCCCGGCGATCTCCTCGGGCAGCTCCTGCGGCCAATCTTCCCGCGCACGCTGGGTAGGCTGGACTCTGCCACGTGCGTCGTCTTGAGGTAGAGCAGGATTGGCGCGAGCCTTGCCACGCTTGCGTTCGTTGTGCATCCAGTCGCTTAGCTGCGTCGTGCTAGGGAGTTCTGCCTCTCCGAAGCGCTGGCTCACGAGGTGCTGAAGGAGCGCTGCAGCTGAACGTTCGCCATTGTGTGTATCCCGCATGTAGACTCGCGCCTCGGCGACTTGGGCCTTCGTGAACACGCCTCGCTCCTGCTCCTCTTCTGTAGGTGGCGTCCGTGGACTGATTTTCCTTTATTGCATACGTCGTGGCTACCGAGAAACACAGTAAAATACACAAATCCGAATAGACCCCGCGCCACGCAATCTGACCCCTCTCTGACACAATCAGAACCCCTGGCCAAAAATCTGACCCTCAATCAAAACCCAAAACCCTCAAAACCCAATCTGACCCTTCTCACCGCAATTTTGACCTCCAGCCCGTTGGAGCCTGAAACCCTCAACACAAGCAAGGAATGATGAGGGGTAAACCTAAAATCGTCAAAAGAAATACTATGTGGCAGACCAAAACAACAAAAGAGATCATGGATGGCAAACCACTGGCAAACCCTAAACCCGACAAGATGCCCCCGACAAAACGGCCAAACCCTCTTAAAGATGGATGTTGCACCTTCAACCTGAAACTTCAAAACTGCGTGGCCCCAACCCCTACAAAACACCATACGGTATTGTGCCAAACGCTAAACCCTAAAAAGGCTGACGAGTTCCTAGGCACCCGAAACTCTGACAAGAGATGGTGGCTGGCAAGCCCAGAAGGCCAGCCTGCAAAAGTTGATGGCTAAGCACTACAATGGGGTCACCGGTTCCCAGGTTGTTCAGATCTGTTATGATGCTGTGTCTAATTCTTATACCTAAGAATATTTGGGTATCTTCGCTGCGCCACGCTGTATCTCCTTCTACCTGTCTACCGTTCTATGTATATTTATATGTGTACGTATTCAGTCAGGAACACACAAACATGTATGCATAGACTACATCATATGTGTGCATATGTATGTGTGTATGTAGTGGTATGTATGCATATATTAGTATATATACATATATACATATATATATATATATATATATATACATATATATATATATATATATATATATATTTAGGGTCTCGGATCGAGGGCACTGTACGATCAGTGCTCATTGCCGGTGCACCCCAGTGCCGAACAGCTAGGCACGTGCGAGCCATTGCGATCGCTGCTTCGCCTCCGTGGCATAGGCGGCTGCGCAAGCGGCGTTCGGCGGCAAGGCGCCGCATTTGGACCGCGAGGGCCTCTGGTCGTGCTGGCCCACTCAAGGCTGCTCGCCTCCTGCAACGACACCACAGTGCTCCTGCCTATAGGGAGTTGATGGGACGTGGCAGGGACAAGAACGCGGCATGGACCGAGTCCTACGAGGATTATGGTTCCTGGCAGCCGGATGCCTGGCGATCCAAGGCCAATGGCAAGAACAAGGGCGGCCAGCCACGCAAAGACCGCGAACCCAAGCCGGATGCGGTCAATTTCCCCTCCTTCGACCGCATGTCTGCCAAGCCGAAGGAGAAATCCAGCGGGTCCCGCGGACCGGCCGAGGTGGAAACTATCGAGGCTGGCGCTGTGGACAAGATGGACATGGTGAAGGCTGTGCAGAAGATGGTGAATGGGGTCCGGCGTGCGGAGGTCAGGATCCGCAAAGGGAGCGAAGAGCTCGAGTCTCTCGATGCGAAGTGGACGGCCTTTCAGGCCGAGATGAAGCAAGCTTTCGTCCGCGAACGGGCAAAGTATGTCGAGATGACACAGAAGCAGAAGGAGGAGATCGAGGAGCAGCAGCTGGTTCGCGACGAGGCGCTGGCCGAGCTCCAGCAGACCCTCGTCACTGGCAAGATTACCCGCAAGCCGGCTGCACAGAAGCCCGGAGACCAAGAGGCCGACGCGGCTTGGGGGAAGTTGCTGGGCGAGACGGCCGAGTCGGACGACGACCTCTCCACCTTGCTGGCTGGTGCACTTGTGGGCGGCTCCAGGCTGGGCTCGGCACGGAAGGAGGAAATGCTCCGCCTGATTGCGTCATACCAGAGGCGATCGAGGACCCCTACGACTCCGGTACGGAAGCCACCCAAGGCCGAAGTCTCCACGCCGCCCCGGCCTACGCGCATGGATGTGTCGACACCGGAGCACAACGCGGAGACCACGGCCGACGGCAACTACTCTGGGGCGGGGGTTCTTTTGGACCCATATGTGACCTCCCCGTCAACCCGCAATGCTCACTTGGTGCGAGGCTCCTCGGTTTCTCGACCCCGAACGGCCAGGAGAATGGGCATCAAAGATCGGGGCAAAGAGCAGGTCGTGCCACCTACAGGCACAACCTCCCTGGCCGAGAAGCTGGAGGCGGCCCGAGCGGAGGAGCTGAACAAGAGCCTCGAGGTGCCGGACTCCGACGAAGAGGAGGACATGATCGGTGGCTTGGCCGATGGCCGTACAGAGCCGCGAGGGGAGGAGTGAAGTGTCAACACGTGGTGCCGGCTCAGGGAGAGCCAGGCCCTCTTGATATGACGTTGGCCCCATTTGAAATTGGGCGGGCCAAGGAAAGTGGCTTTTTCGGTATGTCCACTGTTTTTGACACTGC